TTGATTTGTGGACCGGCGCGTCCCTCCTCCTGCCAAGAAAGTCTGACTGGATATCCAACCCCCCCACATCCAAGTCGGCCATTTTGATTAGGTCACCAATAGGAAGATCCCAGGCAAGAAAATCCTAATTGCTTCATGGCGATATAGACGTTAATTTAAAAATAGTGAAATGAATCTTGCAAACACTGAATTAAACTCTATCCATAATATTATGTTAAAATAGTGGATGTTAAATAGGTTTGTACAATAAGTCCAAACCAGTTTAACCAGAAAATATTTATTTCTCACAATTATGAAGGGTTAGGGTTAGGGTTAGGATCAGGGTTAGGGTTGGGGTTAGTGTTAGGGTCAGGGTTAGGGTTAGGTTTAGGGTTAGGTTAAAGGTAAGGGTTAGGTTTAGGGTTAGATTTAGGATTAGGTTTAGGATCAGTGTTAGGGTTAGGGTTAGGTTTAGGGTTAGGGTCAGGGTTAGGGTCAGTTTTAGGGTTAGGGTCAGGGTAAGGATTAGGGTTCGGGTTAGAGTTAGGGTCAGGGTTAGGGTTTTGTTTAGGTTTAGGGTTAGTGTTAGTGTTAGGGTTAGGGTTAGGGTTAGGGTCAGGGTTAGGGTTAGAGTCAGGGTTAGGGTTAGTGTTAGGGTTAGGGTTTGTCTTCCGATTTCGTATAGACAGTAAAGTTTCGTTTCCCCCTCAGAAAGCTGCTAGTCACATGACCTAATCAAAATGGCCGACTTGTTGAAATGAGAAAAGAGATTATGAGCTGTGGTGGATTTGATTTCCCTGTGAGCATCGGGCTAAAACAGAGACTCTCCATCAGTCACAGGAGTCTCACAGAGAGTTTTTAGGCTTTTAGGAGGCGTCCGGACTCAGTTTTTCTGTTGTTTCTTTTTTACCACCATGACTCATGTGACTGAGGGGTAAGGCTTAATAAGCTTATCCTCATCCTGCTGCTTTTTGAAACACAATGCATGTTTATGAAGCATTCAATGTAAACATTGTTAAATCATATCATGTTTCAGAATAAATTAAATGAAATATCTGTGCTCCATCTTGTGCTAATCCTCTAAATCCACGTTGATCGAGCTCTGAGTCGGTTTCCGGGTCGCTGACCTTTGCTCCTTTTACCAAATGCTGCAGTTATTACGGATTCACTTCATAAATAAAGGCTTCTAGGCCTTTTTCTGTGTGTGTGGAGAAATTATGTGTTTCTCTGGGCCTGACAATTCACTTAGACATGAATGACTGTGTGAAAGGTTATAGTCCTCATAAGTTATATAAACCAGATAACGTCCCTATATGTTGCATAAAAATCAGATGTAATCAAAATGTTGCTCATGCTAAAATCTTAATAGATGAATGTTTTCCTGAATGCATGGATAGGAAACTCTGGGATTCTCAGACCTGTAGAACCTTTGGAAAGACACGTCCCCATTTGTCCTATTTCCGTTATACGTCCTTATATATAATGAAAACACGTATGTGTGTGTGTGTGTGTGTGCCTGAATTGGGATTTCTCTAAATGTTTGCTCTAGCTAAAATCTTAATAGATGAATGTTTTCTTGAATGCATGGATAGGAAAC